GAGGAAGATGAAGCTTTCTGCTCCGGTAAAGATCTGTAGCCTTGGAAACCGCCCTCTGCGCTGTCCTACGGGCTGCTGTGAGTCAGGGTTGACTCGACGGCAGTGAGTTTGAGTTTTTGTAATTCTTGGGTCATGCTCATCAGTCTTTTGTTTTACTACCAGATCTAGTCAAAAGCTTTGTTGGAAAGTTGACTAGATATTATGCAACTAAATTCATAAAAGGGTTATTTAAACATAACCAGAAAGTCAACAATTTGAAGCCATTCCAAGAAAGAAGGGCTTTCTATTCCCATACAGAGTTACAGTCTTGGACCGTCACTGGGGCACCGTTCCCCTGTCCTACAGGCTCACCGTGAGTTGGAATTGACACAGTGGCAGTGAGTAAATCTCACATGTGGAGACAAAGCAGATTCCTGTAGTGATGGTTAAATAATTCTGCCAGGTACATTCGCCTGTTTGTGGTTCCAAGAGCCTGGTGGTGCTGCAATTAAGCCTGCTGCTCCATGGGATTAAGATGTGGCAGTCTGCTTCCATTAAGGATTATGGCCTCCGAAAACCAAGAGGCAGTTCCAGTCTGTCCTATAGGTTCACTCTGAGTCAGAATTAATGCGACAGCGTTGGGTCATAGGGCTGTGGTTTGGGTGGCCTGTTTGCTAGTGGACAGCGGAAGGAGAGGTTGAGAAAGATGGAAGAAACCGTCTTCTAGGGAGGAGGCGGAGAGGTGCCAGTGACCTCAGGGGGAACACGCGGGGCTCTGGAGCGGCAAGGTCAGACCACGCATGCTTAAATTCTAACATTAGAGCAGCTAAGGTGAACTCCCTGCATGAAATGCCTTACGTCTTCAGAGCGCCCCCGGGCTGAGGAGTGAAGGAGAAAAGATCAGTTTATGCAGAATGTAGGATTGTGTGATGATAGTAAGAGAGGAAACAAATTTAGAATTTATGCACTCCCTCCCTTTTTTTCTCTATTTTTTGTTCCATATTTTACTTGTGATTTTTCTTATTTTCTAATGAAAGGTAAATAATCATAATAAGCTCTCTCCCCCTTAAGGGAGTAGCTGTTACTTGTTCTCATACAGGTTGGTCAGGCTTCCTCCAGAAAGTGTCAATTAGCATGAGAGTGGAAAGACAGGGGCTCTGACTTAGTCGTTTAACTGTAGACTTAGGCCCCCAGCTATGGCTGCTGTCCAATATGTTACAAAACCTAGGGCCAGGACAAGAATGGCATCGATTGCAAATAGTAACTTTTGGCAAAGTGGGGAAACCAAGCACATGATCTTCACCAGCCAATAATGAGTAACATCTTCTTTTGACACATAGATGAGTCTCTGTCAAGCAGCAAGCAGTCATCAGCCAAATGTGAATGGTCTCTTGGTCCATGGGATGCCGCTGCAACCGAGAAATCTCTCCCTAATGGACAAGCTCCTGTAAGGAAAAAAATATTTTATTAGCTGAGCCCTAGTGGTGCAGTGGTTAGGTGCTTGGCTGCTAACTCGAAGATTGGTGGTTCCAACCTACCAGCCACTCTGGGAAGAACGTTATCGCCAAATGCCTCCATAAAGATTTACAGCCTCGGGAACTCTGTGGCAGTTCTACTCTGCTCTGCAGCGTCTCTGTGAATCAGAGTTAGCTTGACAGCATTGGTTCTTATAGTTTAAGTAGACCATTAAGAAATAAATGGAAGTCAAGGTCGGTCAGTCAGTGTGTATGTGTTGAGCCGCAGAGAAGGTTGGGAAGACAAAGATCTAAGAGGCGTGGTCTCCACTTCAGGGAACTGATAAAGCAGTGGGAAAGCAAGGATACACCCACAGGCATCAGGAATTGTAACCATATAGGGCATTTGATGAGTGAATGTCAAGTGCATGGTGTCCAGGATGAATGTAATGGGAGCCATACACTCGGGAAGCTTTTGGAGGCAAAATAGAGACTTAAAAAAAAAAATCGTATGATTAACTGGGAGTTAATACATAGAACATTCAACAGTTAAGCAGAATGGTACAATTGCCACCACAATCAGTTTCCAAACATTTTTATTCTTCCTGGATTCCTTGACATCGTCTCCCTTTTACTACCCCCCACCACAAGACACCCCCCCCCCCACAAAAAAAAAAAGCCTTCCTTATTCTACTTGGCTTTCTCTATAGGGTCATCAGGCCTGGGGTTCATATACCAAAACATAGGAAAACATATAAGACAACTTCATGAGGGTGACCAACATGCATCAGAGACAAATCAACAAAGTTTTAACTGTTCCAAGTCAAATGTATGCCTGATCTGTACTCCTCCCCAATGCACTGTTTAGTAACCACTCCTCCCATCTCTCGACTGTGGACAGAGGGCGTTCACTGGAGGCATAAAAGAGACTTTTAACTTGTGTTTGGATGATAGGGATTTTGATTAGCAGAGAACAGTCTTGCCTTTCTAGATGGGAGGAGTAGTGTGGGACTATGTTTGGAGATAAGAAAATACTAAACATTAGAGGAAGCAGATTGTTTTTGCTACAGTAAGAAAGCCAGGCATGTGTCAGAACTTTAGTGCTACTAAAGATCATTGGCAATCTTACAGAATTAAAATAGGCCATGATGTGATTTGTGGAACAGGAGAGATAATGAGACCAAAGAAAGTTGGGACCAGATTGTGGAGGTATTTGAATACCAGATTAATAATTTCTGGAGATGTACAAATGTGCTTTATACAATTGATGTATGTATGGATTATGATGAGTTGTATGAGCCCCCAATAAAATGACTTTAAAAAAAAAGAATTTCTGGAGATTTGAGCAATTGGAAATAAGTGAGAAAGGAAGCAAGGTTTTATTTTAGACTCTCTTTTTGTAAATTATAGTAAAATTTGTATCTAGTGCAATGTAGATTTTAAGTTTGTAACTTGATAAATTTGATCAATGTGTATACCCCACGTCGCCATCTCCCTAATGAAGATGCAGAACATTTTCATCACTAGAGAAAGCGCTCGTGCACCTTCCAGCTCCTCCTTTGGCGATGATTACTCTGCTGTGTATCGTCATGGGTTAAATGGGTTCTGTGTCTGGCTAATTTTGCTCAATATTTTTCAAATCCAAATGTAACAGTGGTCCAGGCTCTTTGTTTGCCACGTGGCATTCCATTGCAAGAATAGACCACAATACGTTTATTCATTATCCTATTAATGGGCACTTGGATTATTTTCAGGTTAGGGTTAATATGAATGAAGACACCATAAATATTGCTACATACATCTTGTTTACCTGGATTATGGTCTTATTTATTTTAGGTCAGGAGCCCTAGTGGTGCAGTAGTTAGTGTTATGCTGCCAACCACAGCATCTGCAGTTTGAATCTCCCAGCTACTCCATGGTTGAAAGATGAAGCTTTCTACTCCCCTAAAGAGTTACAGTCTCAGAAATCCACAGGGCCAGTTCTACCCTAACCTGGAGGGTCACTATGAGTCAGATTTAACTCCATGGCAAGTAGTTTATGTTTTTGATTCTTTTAGATCAAACCTAAAAGTAAATTGTTGAGTCATAGGATAGGTGTATGTTTACATTTATAAGAAACTGCCACATGGTTTTTCAAAGCAATTCTGTCATTTTGCATTCCCACCAGCAATGTATGAAACTTAGACGCACAAGATGTTAGTGAGTGAGAATCTATGACATGGATGGTTAGGGAAGAAGGGAAAGATCATAATATTCAAAAATTCACCCTATTTCTTATTGGGCACTCCCCCTTCAAAATCTTTCAAACACTGTTTATTTGAAACACTGGTGTATTTGGGTTTGTTTCTGCAGTCATGCCCAACAAACTGCACCCATCCCAGCATGCACCACCCAGTGACAGTGATGGCATTCTTCACACTGTGCATCCACTCTCACCTCCTATTCTGCCCCTAAGCCTTTCTTTTTGAGTTGGTGCTGCCATCAGGTTACCTCCAGTGCTAAGGGCACCAAAATGAAAGGCTGAGAAACTGACTTAAGCCCCAGGAGCAAATGGAAGAGCTGAGCTCTTACGTGCCTGCCACTTCATTGTACAAACGTGTGCCTCTTGAAGGTCATATAATTGAGTCTCACTTCCTCTCACCCACCTTAAAAATAAAAACCCAAACCTGACATTGTAGTGGTGTTAAAGACACTGGACTTCTTTGGTTTGGTATTTTGTTTGTTAATTATAGAAGAAGGTAGCTTCTCTTATTTCACAGCTGGTTATGTAAATGCAGGTGGATTGTAGTCCCACTGCCCTAAAAAGACTCTGGACCCTTTGCCTGCTTCCAGCTTTCCAAGGAACCCAGATCCAAACTCCTGCTCCTGCGGACTCCCATCACTGGGACAGCTGCTCCCAAGCAGCAATGTTCCTCCAGATGTTCCTCCAGCGTAAAAGAGTGGCGCCCGATCTGTTAAAAATCGCATCCCTAGACCGCGTGGGGGACTGAAGATTTGGCTGTGGTGGCAAGTGCTTTTCTAGACCTCCATTCCAGTTCCGCGAAAGAATGCCTTATTTTTCAGAACAGATTTTCTTGCCTGAGCTAGAATTTCTTCAGGAGACTGGGTCCTTATTGAAGGGTTTCAGTTTGGCTTTTCTCCCCCTTTTGTATAATGTAGAGTTCAAGAGTTTTATACCATTGAGGCATGTTTCCCTGTACACAGTGATGTCGATTACATTGTGGGTTTCTCATTTGGCCAATAGAGATCTTGATGACAAGCTACTTATGAGACCTGGGTCCAGTACCATCGTTTCGACCCGAAACTGGCCCAATCGAGCCTTGGAGTTTAGTACATCATCTCTGTCATACACAATGCAGTCCATCAGGAGACGAAACCCCCTACCACGTACCCTCCATCCAATTAGCACAAGTCTTTCATGCACTGGGACCCCAAGACCTGTGGAAGAACTCGTCAGAGGAACTCGAGGGTAGGTTTCAAAGCAACTTTCTGGAAACTGATAAAGTAATAAAAGTTAAATAAAAATAGGATATAAATCTATACCTAGAAACTAATCAGTAAATATTTTTATGATGCATATTGGCTTGACTCTAATACATTGGAAAATATGGGGTATGTTTTAATGGAATATGCATATTTGGTCATTTTATTGTTTTACATCAAATGTGGCTAGCATGCTAGTTATATGGGAACTTGCTCAATGAAGTTCCCAAAATACTAGTTCCCTTTATCATTGAGATTTGCTTATTCTTCTGGCAGTGAAAACTTTATAAACTTTAGTAGCTTATATACTAGAAGAAATGTATCTTAGTGATTTTTAGGAAGGAATACTAAAAGTATTCTTTTACCACCCTTCATTCACTTAGCACTCTGAGTCTATGCAAAACTATCTGGAAACTACTTCGTAAGACACTTTTTCTTCACGAGCTGGTAAATCATAAGACATAGGATAATTCGTTTCTAGAACCCATGCTCAAAGATATGAGATGACAAAGCACAATTATATTTTAAATTCCGCTTTTAAGTTAAACCTGTGTACTTCTCTCCCAACATGTTATTTTTTGATTTTTCGATTTCTTATTAAAGTTCATTCCAGTGGACTCCCCAAGAGGGGTATCCAAAGATACCAGGAATCTGTTCAGGCCACCAGTGTTCTCCCCTGCTCACAGCTCTGACACTGACAGCCATCAATACCTGCAGACTTCTAGCTTGCCTGTTCATTTCCTCCTTCTGACATCGCTTCGCCTCCCTCCCCCCCCTCAAGTTTACAAATAAGTTGCTGTTTCTGCTGGGCCCTGGAGATATTCAAATTTCACTTCCTGTCTTAGGTAATACAGGATGGATAAAGTGAATGAAGGGTGGGAAAATATTTTCAGTAAGAATCACTAAGATTTACTGTCTTAGGTATAAATGATACCCAAATATCTGAGATTTTAAAACATAGGCCACTGAAAGCTTACTGTTCATGACATTAAAATCACCAGCTTCATTTACTTGTATCTTCAATTTGCGGATATTCTTCTAACTTGATGCTCTTGTGTCTTGGTGTGTCTCTGGTGGGATTTCCAGCCCTGGGACAACTGACTCACTCTCCTCTCCCTCACCCTTGCCCCTGAGTCGAAATAACTTGCTGCCACCTATTGGCACCGCAGAGGTGGAACATCTGAGTGCTCTGGGGCCACAGAGGCAAATGGTAAGTCCCCTTCACATTCCCTTCCCATGTGCTTGTTATAAAACCCATGGCAGTAATTGTGCAGAATTTGAGCTCTGGCCAGATTGATTCTGGATTTTGACCCAAGTACAAGCTAAGCTTTGGTTTATGACAGTTGAGCTTGGTTGCTTTAGGACATGCACTGGTCCTCCTACAGTTTAAACAGTTTCTGTCCATTTTAATTCCTCTGCAGAAAGCTCACAGTGAATCCAGTCGAGCTCGAAGCGCTGTGGTGGACGAGCTGAACCATCAGCAGCCCCAGGAGAGGCTCCTCTTACCAGACTTTTTCTCCAGGCCCAACACAACTCAGTCCTTTCTGGTAGAGTGGCATACTTCCTCTATGGTGTTAATAGCTGCAAAAGGGAACGGGAATTTTTTTTTTTTTTTGGTCTGCCAGATTCTTAAGACCTTAGATAATGACCTAATGATTTCCAAGAATAAAAATTGAGTTTCTGATAAAAGTAGTGTTGTAGACACAGTTTGCTAAAATTGTAATTGGCCCCTGCAACTCACTGAAGTACTAGGAATTCTCTTCTTTTGGGGGGTAAGATGTCTTATGGGTGAATTACATCATTTTGACTATCCAAATTTTAAATTGCTTAAACTTTATCATTCATACATTCCAATGTGTTTCACATTAGCACAACTCAGCTCTCTAGCCCTTCTAATAGGGAAGTTATAGCAAACGTGGGATCAGATTATGGTAGGGGCTGGGAGGTGGTGAGAGAGGTCTTCCCTGTTCTTCAGTCACGGTTGGAGCATTGAGGTTCCCGCACTGGTTACCGTGCACGTGCTAGCCCTTTACTCGGAAACAGTAGAAAAGACCTGCTCGGGAAATACAGGGTCAGGTACTGACTTTGGCTGAAGGCCAAGAGCTAAACCTTATAGCAGCAGTTCTCAACCTGTAGGTCACAACCCCTTTGGGGGTCAAACGACCCTTTCACAGGGGTCACTCAATTCCTAACAGTAACAAAATTACAGTTATGAAGTAGTAAAAAAAATAATTTTATGGGTGAGTGGCCACAACAGGAGGAACTGTATTAAAGGTCATGGCATAAGGAAGGTTGAGAATCACTGCCTTATAGCATCTGTTTTGTGGCAACCACACTTAGTGCCAGGAATCAGGATCCGACATGCCATCCTGCAAGTGTCTGAGATGGTGGGTTTCTGGTCAGCTTACCCATACTCACCACCCTTAGACCACACCAGCTAAACACCTTCACAGAGGATCTTTCCGGACGAGGAGTGCGGGCATAATGAATGGGATTCTCAAGAGGAATGATCTAGGGAGAGAGACACCTAAAGCAAGGGCCGGGGGAAGGGTGGGTATTCCTGCTGTTGCTTCCCTGTAGAATGTTATTTTTTCATGTTTTATAGTAACAAGTAAAAGTTGCACCCTTTCCCCTACTTTGCTGTCTTACAAAGGGAGTTATTCAAAGTAATTAATGATGGCTATAATTCAGAGGAAGATTTGAGTCCTACGCCTGTCACTGCCACACTAGCACTTTGCTCCTTGGCACGATTCCCTGGCCATTCGTTTATAATCATGCTTGCTTTCATAGTGTTTTGGGAAATAGCCACACTTGTGTTGTTGGACACAGGCGTCATCACTAATGTACTGTCGGTGGCTGCCTTTATGCCAGAGCAGAAGTTGTTAGGCCCACAATGCCTACAGCCGGAATAATCTATGGGCTTTCCAGGCTAATTCTTAAATCTCTGGGTACCAGTACTTTGACAGGGAACAGCGATTTCTTTCTTTTTTCAGGGGGGAGGGGATTTAATTCTAAAAACCCCAGCAGGATAATGCTTTAAAGCTTTTTTTGCGGGGGAGGGGCTATCTATGTATTTTAATAATTTGGTCATTGTTTTTAAATTCCTTGAGGTAACTTTGGAATGCTTGTTTCATAAAGGGGTGGAATGTAGCTGACATCTGAAATGAGGCACCATCCTGAGTGCTCCAATGTTGCTGAAAGGGCCAGTTCTGTTATTTGAATCATTAGGCAATTGAGAAGCTAAGACCTTTAGAATGTAACTGCAGTATTAAACCACGTGGATTATTTTAAGTGCTATGATTTTTATATTCATAACGTTATAGAATTTATTTTGCAAGTCAAGAAGTGGCTGTGTAGGGCGGCTCCGGCTCGGCGACTCTGCTCTGAAGTCGCTGGTTGCAGCAGCCGACTCGGCCGCAGCTTGCCAGATGCTTTTCTTCCCTGTTGTCGGACTCGTTTTACCTTTGGGAGGAGTCACTTTGTGAATGTCCCGTCTTTTCTTTCAGCCGGACACACAGTACCGTCACTCGTGTGCCACTGAATATCCTCATCAGGCCCGTCCTGGCAGGGGACCTGCTGGTAAAGCTGCTTGGATATGCCAACATCCTGTCTTTGTCTCATTTTCCTCTGTGCTTATTTTCCTTGATTTCCTCACATTTGGTTTTCCTACCGTTTCCCTGAAAATAAGACCTACTTAATTTTGCCTCTCACTGAAATATAAGCCGCCCCGCCCCCCAGCTACCGTGACTCTGGATCTTAGCTGCGGGCGCTGCAGCGCAGCTTCCTGTTGGCCACAGAGGAGACAGGAAGTGCGAGGTCTCTTAATAAAACAGTAAATGTCACCGTATTCTTCATGGAAAAATAAGACATCCCCTGAAAATAAGGCCTAGCGCATTTTGGGGAGCAAAAATTAATATCAGACACTGTCTTTTTCTTAGGGAAACGGTACATCTTTATAAGCCATTTCAAACTAATTCTGGAAGACAGGTATAACTAATAGTGATCTACTGCTTGGAGCCAGAAAATCCCAAATTTTTCTATCTCGTAGCATAATATAAAGCCTGTTTTTAAAACCTAGGGGGTGGGGTGGGGGAAATCAAACCATAGGTCATTTTCATAATATCCAGAACATGTCATGGCTTTTATTATGTAGGCAACACAGATTAAATTTAAGAAGAAAAATTCTAGTCGGTCAAGATCTGCTCAGACCCTGATCTCTCATGAACTCTTTTCGAGCTCTAGATTTAATCTATAGACACTTGTGAACAGAGGAGGGGAAGGAGCTAATTTAGGAATGGCTTAATTCCTTCTAGAATGGCCTTCTGACTGCCTCAAGGTCATTCTCATCATGCCAACGGTGAGATTTAGAAGTACTGGTCAGATGAACTGCAAGTGCAGGAACCATCTTTGTAGTCCATGTGACATTCAGTTCAGTTCTTAGAAGCACTATTGGTCGGTTTCTCACGGCACTCTCAGGAAAGCAATGTTGCCTCCAAGCCAGGTTAGTGCATTCAGCCTTTAGTGGGCAGGTGTGGCATTTATTAACTGATACTAAATGAAACTGTCATCTTGGTCTTTTTTAATTAGTGGGCTTGCTTCTCGAACTGTGTTTTAATATTGAAGTTTTTACATGACAAAGCATTTTCTATTGCCTTGGTTACTATATTACTACTTTATTCCTGTCTCCAAAATTAAAATCCAAATGTTAAAAAGCCCTTAAATAACCTTTTGAGATTACTGAATCTAAAATGTTTACTAATGTGATTTCATCTTGGTCTGACAGGTCCACACTTACATGGGTCTACAAAATCTCAAAGCAGAGGTGGACCAGTCTCTAGAACCAGGCAGGGACCATAAGGCAAATGAGAAGAACGTGGTGTCCGGCTGCAGGGAACACGTCTGAAGATGGAACGAACCAGTGTTATCATCTGCCCATGGTAACAGGCAGAGCTTGTAGAAGAAAATTTTGAAACCATGAAGTTAATTTTGGTTAACTGAGGAACTGTAACAGAATTATCTGCCAAAGATTACACGGGTAATTGTTTCTATTTCCAGTTACTCTCTTTCAGTATACGGAAATATTCATGCCCAAAGAACAATGAGTAATTATGCCCAAAGCATACCTCAGGCTGTTAATAGTGATCAATTCAACTATTGTAGAATTTTTTGAATATGTATACACACAAAAATCCAGCAAATAACTGACTTGATTTCGGAACACTTCTGCTTACATTAATTTCTGAAGCAATATATTTCATATTTGACACACCTTGGTCAAACACTTGAACAATTCAGCAAATAGATGTCATTTCTAAACTTTTCTCTTTAGATGTCTATTCCCAGAGGCAGATAAGCATGGACAAGGGGGCAGGGTGAGTAACCAAAGACATGATGAACATCAGCATAAGTATTTTCAGATAGGATAGCGCAACCTCACATGGCCTGCCTGATACCAGGTTATGCTTATTCCTACTTAAAATAACTTACTGGTTCTATATTTTCCAAATCTTAAATTCATTGTGTCAAATTTCCTACTGCAGGAAAGTCTATTAAAAAATATTTTGTAGACTCTTGCTATTTTATTAAGCCACCAAGATGTAATTCCTTGAAAAATTAACAAATCCTGGCAATTAGTCCGGTATAAATATATCCTACAATAAATGGCTTCTGATGTTAGGGAGACAGCAGCAGTCAAGAGCTTTAGCATTCTTCAGATGTTACCATAGACCTTTTCTTGAGGGTGCTCATGAACGCAGCAGTGATTGTCACTATAGCTTAAATTTACATATTTCATTTCACTGGACACTAATCTTGATTATCATACCAGTTTTAGATCTTACTATATCTTCAGCATGAACAAGTCGAGTGATCACAAACCTGGATATCTTTAAAATTTTACTATGTTCTTATGCTGTCATATGAAAAGAGATGTTTCAAACAACTGGCATTAGATTATATTTTTAATACTATTACAGTAACTTTTAAACCTTTTTGTAATTAGAAACTGACAATGTGTCCTGTGTTTTCTTAGCTAAATTATGACAAAGCTTTGGTATTCAGCCTGTTTTAGGCATATGGTTCAAATAGATTAGTCTATGGAGTTTCCGATTTTAAGTAGGGTAATTCCTAAAAATATATATATTTAAAACTATGTTCCTGAGTTCCAGTATTTATTTTTTTAATCATTTTACTGGGGGCTCGTACAACTCAACACAAACCATACATCCATCCATTGTGTTAAGCACATTTGTTGCCTTCATCATTCTCAAAACATTTGCTTTCTACTTGAGCCCTTGGCTTCAGCTTTCCCCCCACTCCCCCTAAAAATATTTTTATATATTTTAATGAATACATAGCAACTCATATGTAAGTGAAAATTTGCACAGTTGTCACAAACCAACAACAAACTGCTGGATCAACATGGCTTGCCTTTCAAAGTTTAAGAGTCAGAGGGTTTTCTAAGATATCATTTACTCCAATTCCCTAAGCTTTGGATGAGGAGGAAACTAGTGTGCAAGGGCATTCAGCCGTTAGAGGCAAGACCACAACTCAAGCCTCTTGGCACTACACTACTGGTGGGACTGCTCTTCCATGTCTCTAACCTACACACCATTTATGATTTTTCTAGGTCATGCTTTTTCAGAACCCCCAAAATGTCAGTTTTTACTTGCCTCACAAAAATACTTGAAGGACTCTGAACACCTGTTTCTCCTATACATCAATAATAGAGTTTAGAACCTGGGTGAATAAAACAAAAAAGGAGAGCTGGTTCATTGCAAAGCACACTGGAAGGTTTTTCAAAGGTCAGCAAGTGTTTAAAGGAAGACATCTTGCTGGGTACTTGTTCTAGCAGACAGGTACATCACTGAATATTCTACAGCTTGCTCCAGTATGACAAAATGACAATCACTAATAACAGTATAGACAGTTCCATTTACTGAGGATCCATGGAAACAAGTGCTGTTAGGAAATACTCTGCCCTCCCCTCCCCCTACAACCACCACCACTCAATTCCTGATGGGAGGACGACTCCAGGAAATGCATCAGGTGGCTTCCAGGAAATACTAAGAGCAGGTTGAGAGGTTCTGCTCGGTTTACGTAGATCTGAACAATTGAGGCTGGAAAAGACATGTTTTTTCAGGTTGACGGGTGTCTTCAAATCTTGACCACACCTGTCTGCAAGTGTGGTTAGATTCTATGGACTTTCGAGGACAGATATCCCACTATTTCTTTTCTTTCTTGAGGGGCATCTTTTTCCCTCTTCCTTTGGAAGGATTGCAATATTTTGCTTCCATCTGAGCCAGGAAATCATCCATTTCCTTTTGCCGATCCTTTTGTCTGCTCTGTTTGGAAAGATTAAACACAAGCTCTCAAACACAATAGAGTGGTTGCATGGGGCTGGGGTGCGGGGAGAATGGGAAGATGATTACTAATGGGTAGAAGGTTTATTTTGGGGGTTGATAAAAATCTTCCAAAACTGGTGGCAATGGCTGTACAACTCTGAGAAAATATAAAATCCACAATGAATTATAAATTACCTTTAACAGGGTGAATATAGTATAGGAATCTATCTTTAAAAAACAGAAAAGAAAAACTTGAACATTACCATCTGCTCTGAAGAAAATAGGTACAATGGGAATCAGAACATGAAAGCGGTAGCAGCCTTCCCAGACAGAATGCCAAGTTCACCTGGATGGCTGCTCTCAAGTCCGTCTCTTCATCAAGCCCCAGCTCCTTCCTGCTCCTCTCTGCTTCTTTAGCCTCCTCCTGCGCCTGAAACCGAAACCAGTGAAATCCAAGGCATCCTAGCAAGTACTAAGACCAAACTTTCCCCAAAGAAAAGGCTATAAGAGCAAAAAAACCCCTCCAATAAAAAGAAAACCTTATAAATATGCATTAAAAGGCAGCACTGAAGATAAACAAGCGGCCATCTAGCCGAGAAGCAAAGTCCACATGGAAGAAACACCAGCCTGTGTGATCACGAGGGGTTGATGGGATCAGTTATCAGGCATCAAAGAACAAAAAAATCTTATCATTGTGAATGGTGGACTGTGGTGTGGGGACCCACTGTAGGCAAATGGACATCCCTTTACAGAAGGGTCCCAGAGGAGACGAGTCAGTCAGGGTGCAGTATATCAAAGATGAAACATACAACTTTCCTCTAGTTCTTTAATGCTTCCCCTCCCCCTCTATCATGATCCCAATTCTACCTTACAAATCTGGCTTTACCCGAGGATGTACACTGGTACACATAAGAACTGGACAGATAAACCCTCAGGACCAATAATGAGAGTAGAAATACCCGGAGGTTAAGGGGAAGGTGGGGTAGAAAGGGGGAACCGATTGCAAGGATCTACATGTAACCCCCTCCCTGGGGTATGGACAACAAAAAAGTGGGTGAAGGGAGACCGGACAGTGTAAGACGACAAAATTTATAAATTATCAAGGGAGGGGAAAAATGAGCTGATACCAAGGGCTCAAGTAGAAAAATGTTCTGACGATGATGGCAACAAATGTACCAATGTGCTTGACACAATGGACGTGTGTGTGGATTGTGATAAGAGTTGTACGAGCAGCCCAAAAAGGATTTTTAAAATAAATAAAAGGCAGCACTGTTGAGAGCACGCAGTAAGACTAATTTCTGCTTGCTAAGAAGTCCATGAGGATTTCAGTATCATGAAACACCTTGGGCTACAAAGGTCACTTCACCTAAGATGCCCTCAGAAGTGTGGTCAGCATACAAACACTTCAGACTCCTCCTCTGCACACTGTTCACATGTGTGATTGGTGGCAGCCTTCTGAGCAACCCTGGTTTGAAAAAGACCTGGTTTCTCCCAGGTTGTCAGGAGAAACAAGTTACAAGCTCAGTTTCAACATTACTCGATTTCAAGGAGCCCTTGTAGTGCAGTGGGTTAGGCTCCGAACTGCGAGGTTAGCACTACTTAAAAGAGAAAGACGAGGCTGTCTACTCAGAGATTACTTGTTTTGGAATCCCTACAGAACAGACCTACTCTGTCTTACAGGGTAGCCAGGGGTCAGAAATCACTCAACTGCAATGAATAGGAGGATTACTTGATTTCACAGTAATACTTTTTTATTTTAATAAATTTTCCTTGGGTAATTGTTTAAAAAAAAGGAGTTCCATCAGAACATCCTGGGCAAGGCCCATAAGTCTGCCTTCTCATTTCTTAAGGGTAATAACCACAAGATATCCCAACCACCTGTGAGTTTTCTTCAGTAGCAATCAATACTATTGACACTGGGAATGATGATGTATTAGAACTTTGTTATCCCAATAAAGACACGCGGTGTCCACCTTTTACTTGCAAAGTCTGTCTTAAATCTTTGCATCTCAACCACCCGACCAACCCCAACTTCTCAAACCTCCTAGAGAGGGAAGTCAGGCCTGTTTCCCTTCAAACTAGAGGCAAGTTTCTGAAGCTCACATCGTATGAGGCATACAGCTGGTTCAGTTTTCACCTGAGAAAACACTATCAACATAAAATAAACCATCAGATTAAGTCTAAGCAGATATAGCTTCTGAGCCAAAACTGATGATATACATTCCACTCACCCCACAAACCTCCAATAGAGATGACAAGACTTTTATATAGGCAAGTCTGACAGCACTCAAAACTTTCACCCCACCCACAAAATGTCAGTATTATTTCACATATACCTTGAATCTAAATGCTTCAGACCCATACTCAAGCTCATAAAATGAGGTTACGCACTAAAGATCCAAAACCCTAAACTGCTCCCCATGCTATTATTTCCCAGAGCAGATGGAAGGAATGACGACTGCAGTAATGGTGCCAGGCACTATTTCCCAAGACCACAGTCATAAACCTGTTACCCAGAATCCACTCCCTCCCTTAACTCCCATCAGTCTTTTCTCACAAGGTGATCAGAAAAACAAAGGGTAAGTCAAAGCATTGCTACAAAATCACAGAAACCTTTTAAAAAAGCATCAAAATGTAAAGCTCCATCCATCCAGCAGGGAAGCAAATAAGCCCACATGGAAGAAACACACCAGCCTGTGTGATCATGGAGTGTCCATGGGATCAGCTATCAAAAGATGCAAAACAAGTATATGGATGAGAATGAGGGGAGTTGGAGTGGAGACTCAAGTCCATCTGTGGACCAGAGGATATCCCCCACAGAAGGGTTCTAAGGAAGGGACGAGTCAACCAAGGTGCAGTATAACACCGGCAAAACACACATATTTCCTGAATACTCCCCACCCCCACCCCCACCCACCAGGCCCCAGTACTACCTTGCAAATCTGGCTAGACCAGAGAACATGCATTGGTACAGGTAAGAGCTCTCGACACATGGAATTCAAGACTGATAACCCCCTCAGGAACAGTAGTGGGCACAGTGACATCATGAGGGTATGGGGACTCATCACAAGGTGGATATATAGCCCGCTGCCCCTCCCCCCAGGGAATAACAAATGTGGGTGAAGGGAAACAACAGACAGTGTAAGATACATAATAGTAACAATTGATCAATCCACCTGTGGGGGGGAGAGGAAAAAAGGAGCTTATACCAAGGGCTGAAATATAAAATGTTTTGGAAATGATGGCACCATATGTACAAATATGCCTGATACATGGGATGTTACAAGAGCTGTAAGAGCCGCTAAAACTGGTTTTTTTTTTTTAATGTGAAGCTACTGTTTCCTGGTCTGCCCTCCCTCTAGGTTTGCCTATTCCTGAAGGTGGTGTTTCCATGTCTCACCTCCCACGAAGAGCTTTGTGCTCTTCAGCTGACACCGTGGGTCATGTTCTGTTGCAGCAGTGAGGTTAAGGAACACAGTGAAGTCTGCAGGGACAGGGATGGTTGGGGTAAGGCTTGAAGGGCAGCTCTTGCGACCACCCTTGAAGAATGACCACATGCACTGTCACAATTGGAAAAAATTCTTCAGCACAGCATTCCTGGCCTTTGCCTCACTAATAAAAGGCTCCATTTCCTTACAGCTGCTCCATTATAAGCCTCCATGATCATCCTGTGTCCTTTGAGAAGCTTATCAGTATTTCCCTTTGGGAGTCCCAAAAAACAATCACCATTACCTTCTGAGCTGACCTCTCAGCCCTGACTTTATCGGGCCCACTAGATCCCTTAGGAAGCTACTATTTTGGACCTTTGGGGGGAAGACTTCCTAATAGACTAAGATTGTTACTGAGAAAACTTGTCTTGTAGGGACCCCCCCTCTGATCAAGGAGACATGAAACCATTTCACCTTCTCCCCAATCTAGCCTATGGACCTGGACTTGCCTACTTACCTCCTGAGAGATGCTTTACTAGATTCAGAAGAACCAGCTCACAGGAAGGCCATTTCAGTGCCACTTCAAAATGATGCAGTAAAATCTTAAGCACAACATAGTAGGGGGAAAATACAGATGGTACGCTCATTTTGTTAGATGAAAACACTGTGCAAGGTTCCTTGATGGTGCAGTAGTTAAGTGCTTAACTACTAACTGAAAGGTAAGCGGTTTGAGTCCACCAGCTGCTCCATAGGAACAAAGACCTGGTTGGGGACCAGCTCCAATAAAGATTACAGAGCTAAGGGGCCCTGGCAGTGCTGTGGGTTAGGCACTGGGCTGCTACCAGAAGGTTTGGCAGTTCAAAACCATCAGCCACTCTGCAGGAGAAGTAAGGCTAGTCTGCTTCCAGAAAGAGTTACAGTTCCAGAAACCCTGTCACCATGAGTCGAGATCTACACATTAACAGGTTTTTGCTTTGGTGTACATATAGGCAATTCCCAAATTAGGAAAAGTTCTGCTCTTCCGTTTTTATGTCAAATGTTTACCTAAGTGGAAACAGTTAGGTGGGATTTTTATCAAGTCAGTTTAGTATTTGTCTTAGTATACCATGTACCCTATATAGCATCGCTACTAGGGTTCCAGGCCATACACACATGGGTTTATTCCAAACAAAATATATTCAACTATGTCTTTGCAGTCAGTGGATGGCTGCAAACAAGTTCTCTGAGAAATACAATGTTTTAATCTTCTTAGGGTGCCTGCCTGAGGTCAGGGCCGATATCAACTTTTTAACAAAACTTTATAAGTCTATGAAAACACTGCTCTTAGATAAATCAAGCCTTTTATGTCAGAGACTTTAAAGATGAACTTTCAATGCTGACAGGATCAAGTTAGAAGGTTATTGAAACTGGGGGAATTTCTAAAGGCTTATCTTGATTTTTCTCAATAGAGCACAGGACAATCAAGGGAACCTATTAGGAAGATGTATTCAGAACATTGAAAATTGCATTAATGAAAAATGGCCCCAAAAATTGCACTGAGGAATCATCCCCAACCCCCCCC